GGGTTATCTAGCAGCACAGAAGCTTCTTATTTCAAATTAACTAAAATATGTCAACAAGGGAAGACTTGTCCATCCAGCCTTACATGATGGAGCCAGAGTCTGAACCAGAGACAGACGAGAATCAAGACAAAAATTGTAGTTGGKTAGTCCAGACTTCATTTTACAGTTCTGTCACAAAAACTGTGATCTATAGAAAACTGATCAGATTGAAAAACATGACCCAAACAAAATAAAAAAATATCTACACAGCACCACAAGAGACTTTTCAAATCATCTGCACTCCAAGAGACTCCAGGTACAACAAATGGCTAAAAAAAAGTGGATTTTGCATGATACGTCACCTTTAAAAAACAATCAACTGAAGGAAATTTACTATTAGACAAGACAAAGACCGGTGATGTTATTAATACTGAGAACCTCAGATTTAGTGTATACTTGAAAATTAACAAATCAATTATCCCAGACAATCGCCTTTTCTAACACTCGACTGATCAGTCAGATGTAGTTTGATCAAATCAAGCTCAGACAGAAATGCTAATTGTTCTAGACTTGGATGGAAATTCTGCTTTTCCTTTTAGGTTCTGTGAGAGAACAAAACCTTTCCTAAATTAGCTTTTTCAAAATCAGCTCACAAAATGAACAAATTATAACAAACATACTTTCATCAGTGCTTTTGTCACTTTTTAATATTGTTATAAAATGTACTATTCTATTATGTATCTTACTTCTTTAGTGTACACTTTAAATATCAATCAATCAATCAATCAATCAATCCTTATTATTCAGACACATACAAGGTCCATAGCAAACAAAACAACAATAAAAAAGAATAAAAAGTTAAAAAAACAAAATATAAAAATGAAAATATTCACCATTGCCATATACAGTAAGTTAAGGCACCAGTGACTCCACAGACAGGAAAAGAACCTTTGTACAGGTTTGGTCAAAGTATAAACGATGACATTTACAGAGTATGCTAGTCTACACATGTATACATGAGATTCCGAAGCACAACACCACATTTGCAAACATCTGACTGGCACAACTCCATCGGGGCACCTTAAGCAGCATCCTCATGCCGTCATTGTACGCCACCTGAAGTTTATGTAGACTGCTTCTTCTGTAATGCCTCCACAGGTGGGTAGTATACATTGGAGTGCAATATGCTTTAAAAAGTGCAGTTTTTACAGACACTGAGCACAAAAAAAGACTTTCGAAGAAGCATATTAGCTTGTACATACTGCGTACAACACTGCCTGTAAATGTCTCTATCATCAGACAGGTCAGCTGTTATGTAATGCCCCAAGTATTTCACCTCATCACTGACTTTGAGGATGCTGCCAGACAGAGTGAAGTCAGGGAAAGATCATTTGACATCCTCTCTGCTCCTGACAATCATGATGTTACTCTTTTTTTGTATTATATGTAATACCAAAATCCAGTCCAATACTGAGAGCAAACCCTTAACAGTTGCTGCAACCCAGCACTATATGGACAAAAAAATCACAAGCTCATCAGCATACATGAGGTGGTTGATGGTTCTATTGCCAACCCGGCAGCCAGTCCTGCATTGATTCAGCAGCTTAGATAAATCATCCATTTACACATTAAAAAGGCAAGGAGACAGAATGCTACCTTGTCGCACACCATTACTCACATAAAAAGGAAGATGATACAAATTTACTCCATTTTACAAACAGATTGATGTGCATACCAGTACACTAAAATTCTTAATAAATATTTTGGAACTCCTCTACCGTACAATTTATGAAACAATTTTTCATGATTTACATAATCAAATGCTTTTGAGGCATCGATAAAAAACATAAAAATTGTGGTATTATGCCTGTTGTATAGGTCTAAAATCTCCTTCAGGGCAAAAATGCACAAATCAGTGCCCAGATTTGGTTTAAATCCTAACTGGTTATCAGACGTCACAATAAACTTCTTAATTCTATTTAAAATAGCCCTCTCCAGTACCTATATATATATATATGAATATATTTTCATTTATGACTTGATTTCCTCCCATTGTTTTCTTTCTGCTTCTCTTTGCCTTTGACCTTTGATGGTCTCTGTTCTCTTGTCTCTTGCTCTCTCTGTGTGTTTCCATGCAGGACCGGAAGGTTGCAACCTGTTCATCTACCACCTTCCTCAGGAGTTTGGGGATGGCGAGCTGATGCAGATGTTCCTGCCTTTCGGTAATGTCATCTCCTCCAAAGTGTTTGTGGATCGGGCGACAAACCAAAGTAAATGCTTTGGTGGGTAAAAATGAACAAAACCAAGAGATCATTGGTTCTTTATTCTGATTATTCTTTTTGACTCTCTATATCTCACACCTCCCCCCACACACACCCCATGACCCCTGAACACTCTGCTCTTAAATTCAAAACTAAATATTTAAGAATTTCTTTAGCTGATCCTAGTTAAAAACTAGATTTGTCCATGAATTATTATGCCAGTTTTGGTTTAAAGCTCAGCATTTCATGTGTTGTTTTTTCTGTGTATATTCGCAGTTTTATCCTCAAACTTCTATTTTATTGTTGTCTATGTAACAAAATGAAAATGGTGACTTTGAGGTTCAGTCCTGTAACTTCCACAACTGATGACAGGCGCAAATACAGACGTGCTGTCTCACTTTGTTACTGTCGACAGTCTTGTCAGTCTTATAATTAGATGGTAAATCTTAAATGGTTGATGAAGAATGTTTAATGGGGAGTCCATCACTTGCAACCCATTTGCAAATTAGCTTTGACTTCATAACACAACACATTATCAGTGTGTTGAGTTGCAGGATTTCATTTTTGATTTGATGCCTTCGTGTTTAATTGGAAGTAACAAGATAAACTGATAATTTGTTGTTTTGTTTGTTTCATAAGCTTGAACTATTCTGCTCTAACTGTGATCCTGTTTGTGTGATGACTGTGTTAGATCAGTTACTGATTTAAAAAAAAGTAAAGCACACAGACAAAGTGGTAGAAATGAAATGATACGGCACATGATTACAGTATCAGATCAACAGAATAATAGCAGTAAGGGCACACTGCTGGTCTCATGTCAGTTTGATGTGGTCCCACATTAGGTCTGGATACAAGCAGTAATTTGGAGCTGAATGGGGTCACACAGCACTTGTATCCTTTGCCGTGTCAAGTCAGCCCACAGCTGTTTAAACTGGCCGAATGGCAGTCTTTCATCTAAACTGATCCCTCTCATGTTCACCTGGGGAAAGATTTGGGGACCTAACTGGCTACAAACACACTGGTTTGCATAAGCCCTTATAGCCTGGTTCTGCCCTGATTTCTGGAACTCTGAGAGCTGTGGTTCTGTTTAGGCCAGCTCAGTTTTGACATCAGCTACTGCTGCCCATTGATTGGTTCACTTTCAGGGGGGTTACATCACACAGATGGATAAATTTTACATGACTCATTTGCAACAATTGTAACATCATTTTTAAATGAGTTCAAAGAACTGTAGCAAACTACCAAGCAACAACACGCTAACATTAGCTACCATTAGCTTACTGTCCTCTGCCGTCTTGCTCTCTTGTCTTAAGCGTCAAGTCATTATGCTATGTTGCAATATAACACAAAATAAGATTTGCATGTTTGCATCCTTCAGATTCATCAGTGAGCAATAAACATCACTTAACTTTCCATCTATGCCTCCTACACTCTGAACACAGCCATCTTGGCTCTGGTGGTAATGGGAGCCTCTGCAAAGAACAGCACACCTGCTGTAGTCCAGCTGGTGCCAGTTTTTGAGACCTTTCAGAATGACAAAAGGTGTCATCCAAAACCAAAACTTTTGGCACACATCAAGATAATAGGCACAGATGGTTCTGTAATTCTTGGCACACRATACAATGATCCTTTATGCAGTCTATCTTGTGCAACCAAAACCTCCTCAGGTACTCACTGGTTCTAACTTGGGGGGCTTTGTGGCATTCTGTACCCCATGTGATGGGCATTTGCATAATGCAATCATATTGACGTCATGCAAACAATGTAAACCCCCCGCCCTAATTAAACTGTTGATAATGCTGTCTAATGCATCTACGAAGCATCATGTGTGTTTTGTGACCTTCATGTAATGTTTTGTCGGACTGCCAGACGCTCTGGCAACCACCTGATTACACTTAGCTTGTAATGCTACCACTTGGCCAGTGGTAGCTGTTCTAGACATGCCAACGCTTCATAAATAGAATAGTTTACATACTTGGGTTTCATGTGGACCAAATTGCATATTGATCCAATCTTTGTAGGTGCTTAACCTTTTGAATGTGTTGTAAACTGCTTGAATAAATTCATGGCTTCTCATAAGGTAAATGCAAATTGTTAAGATAAATGTGCAAAACGAAAGATTTCTCTTTCAGGCTCTATATTTACATGTAAAGGACTGCTTGTTGAACATGCACCTAATCTTCACTCCCTCCTAACCTCAAACTGTTCTCGGCTGTCCATCTAACGACACCCTCCCCTGTTTCTCTCTCCGCTGACCTTTCCCTCAGGGTTTGTTAGCTTCGACAACCCAGGTAGCGCCCAAGCTGCCATCCAATCCATGAACGGCTTCCAGATCGGCATGAAAAGACTGAAGGTTCAGCTCAAAAGGCCAAAGGATGCCAACCGCCCCTACTAGCCACCGCCCTAGACAGCCGCTGCCATTGTGGCGGGCAGGGCAGCCATCGTGCACAGAGGAAGACAGGTCAGCGAGTCAGGCTCAATCGGCCTGGAAAAACTTTGTGTTACTTTGAGTTTGATAGTCGATTAACTGAACCAAAGCATGCACAGCTAGGACAGCGTTTTACTGGCAAACGCTCCACCAGCAAGCAGTTTACGGCATGGCTTGATATGTTTTCCATAACCTTTTATTCATGTCATAACAATTTCAGGTGCCTAATACCAACCTGATCATCTGTAAAAGGCTCGTAAAGATTAGTGAAGTCCTTCTCCTGTGCAGACAGTTTATGAATATATTTAGCAACATTGTGTCACTGTTATAAGACTCTGTGTAGCATCAGGCTAAAGTGAGGAATTGGTTGCAGATTTGTAAGTCTGAAAACATATCGATGTGATTTAAAAATCATTCCCCCTCACACATTGAAATTGGGTTGATTGTTCTTTTTCTGGCAAACAAACAAAACTGTTGAGGCTTTTCCCTTCACACAGCCTCCTGCTCTGTTTGCAGAACATCTTTACAGTGAGTGACCCGGCATGTTACCCTGTAGGTAAAAGATAATTGGTAAATGGTTCTTTGTGTTGCACATCTTCCAAAGGGGAGGCATTTATTACCCCTCAGGCGGGTAATTGTGCCGTTCCTCTTTGTCTCCTCTCTTCATCTGTGTGATGGAGAGTTTAGGCCGCATCGTTCATTCACTGCTGATGACTTCATTCAAGGGCAACTTATCACCCACTCACAAGCCAGCCGAGCCATATACCATACAGAGTCCTGAAGCATATCACTGCAGGCAAAATACTGCGATCTCACAGGAATTTGTCAAAAATATTATGTGACAGAGGTTTCCCCCCCCCACTCCCCGATATATTTAAACATGTTCAAGAAAAGGACTATGGATATTGTTTTAAACTTCAGTTTTTGCTCTTTCACTCACAACATGAAGAACAAAGACAGCTAAAGTACCCAAGACAAGAAAAAAAATGTTTGGGTGTGTCTTTGACTATAATTCTGTCATCAGATGAAAAACCCAAAACAAACACTTTGATTTGAACAAAAACAAAATCTAATTGTTTAGTCCCACAGATTATGATTGCTTCAGTCCCAGGCAGTCAGATTAATTTGCTGCAGAATGAGCGCCCATTTGTTTTCAAAATTGTCTCAGCAAATTGATATTTGTCTACATTCACACAAAGTCTTTGTGTTCAGTGCTGACAGAGGCAGGTGGACTTTTCTGCTATTGTACAGCTGCAAATGAATGTAACTTTAAGAATATGCACCCTTAATAAATTAAACATCATGTGTTTGATTTTTACTTCTACACCCATTTTTCTTCAAACTTGAGTTCTATTTATAACTCTACACAATCCATTTCACTTCAAACGTTTTTTTTTTTTTATCAAAGTCACATCACCTGGTCTTTCCTTGCTAAGACTGTAAATAATTAATAAGCTAAATGGTAGAAACTATTTAAGAACTAAAAGCACTAGTGCAGGTCTTTTAAAGAGTGGTCCTGTGGAAAAGATATAAACAAACTAGATACGGCATAGCGGTAACATAATGACCCCCGCACGCACAAATGCACCAGAACTCAGAAGTCTTTATTCCTAATAAATGTCATGCTACTAGATGCATCCTAAAATTGTAGTGGTTTGGGTGGGGGTCTTTTGGGGGGGTGGGGGTTGGACCTGATGGATAGCCCCTCATCAGAGCTAAACAACCAAAGAAATCTGAAGTTCCTATGTTTAATAGTTTTTGAGCTATAACCATTTTTGTATGTCCAGATACCCCTTTTTCAGATAAACTGGGGGTCCGGGGGGTTGGGGGCACTGATTGGTGGGCCTGACCGATAGAGCTTCATCAGAGCTAAACAGCAAAAGAAATCTGAAGCTCCTATGTTTAATAGTTTTTGAGCTATAACCATACCCCTTTTTCAGATAAATTGGGGGTCCGGGCACGGGGGGTGGGGGCACTGATTGGTGGGCCTGATGGATAGAGCTTCATCAGAGCTAAACAACCAAAGAAATCTGAAGCTTCTATGTTGAACAGTTTCTGAGTTATAATCGGTTTTGCATGTCCTGACACCCCCAATTTGAATTGAGGTTTATGCAAATGCTATTTTATAAACTTTTACACCCTCAGTACTTTTATAAGCAGGTATTCACATAGAATTGTAAGGTTATTTGCAAGCACAAATAACAGCAAAAGCAGCTAGCTATAGTACTTTCAGTGACACCTGTATACTTCCTTATGGAATATCAYATTTCTACTGGAATAAGTGCGTAATGTTAAACTGCTAATGCTTTCAAGTTTTATTAAATAACTTTTGTATATACCGCTAAAGCGCTGTTATACTAGAATAAAGACGAGATGTCAGATCTCAATCATTGTGAGATGGTCTTTATCGCGTGAAAAATTCACACTCGAAGAGAAACCGTAGGATGAAATCCTTAAAAGCCCTCTCGTTGTCCTCCCTCTGTAGCACATACGAATATCCTACACTAGCGTACTTCCTCCCAGTCAGCACAGCTACAGCTGCCCAGAGGAGGCATTCTCTCTCACAGCCAGCACAGCCACAGAGAGCCACCTGTATCTCCAGGCTGTCTCCTCCATGCCATCTTCTTCCATGAGTCAACGATCTTTCTAAGATTTATTTGAATATCTTTGTAAGTTTTGCAGGAACAGTTGCCAAGTCAGCTATCCCATATTTTTATTTCTGACCAATAACATAACATTCTGCAAATACTTGCAAGACAGAAGGTGTGACTCACACAAGACAGGGTCTCAGCAGGGGATGAGGGTAAAAAAATATATGCAGTTTTTGTCATGCAACCATTCCAGTCGTATTCAAGGATTATAGATCAGGCTTAAGAATGAAGGACGGCAAAAATCTGCTTTGGTCTTGGCTCCACTCAGACTGGCCACTAGCTTGTGAATCAGATTAAAACTAATTGATTTCTGCAACCTGAGGTTGTACTGAGAGCTATCTACAACAGGTAAAATATTTGTTCAGCTACTTTACACAGCAGAACTGAGGTTCTCAAACTTGGGTCCCAGGACCCTCAGGCGTCTCTGAGTCGTAGCATGGGGGTCCTTAAGAAATTACAATAAATTGCTAATTTTGTTTTTAATGTAAAAATTGCATAAATGCATATAAAATGGGTATTAATGCACCACTAAAACAAACATATTAAACCTAACAGATAAGAATTCTTCCCATGGAATTTAGGAGTTAAAATGGGTTTAAATTAGTTTTAAATCAGCATGAGGTTTATGAGGGAGTCCCTGGAAATATATTTCACTCCTTATAAAGGGTCCCCAGACCCAAAAAGTTTTAGAACCCCTGCTTTAAGGCGAAAGAAACATTGAAGTTTTGCTACCTAAACAATTCCTGTTTCTCTTGTGCTTTACAGGATTTGTTGAGCTGAAGAACGCGTTGACCACTTGCCACCCACCACCGAGTGCAAACGCAACATCTGGACCACCGGGGCTACTTTGGAGGATAGGAGCATTGGACAAGTCACGGACATCTCCTTTTTGGATGTACTTAAACTATGGAACTCAGAGAGAGGATTTGTACCGGCCTGGTTAACACCAGGACTTATTTTCTCCTGCACACACATTACACACCTCTTCCACCATAAAACCCTGCTTGAATGACGACTACCTTGTCCGGACCACAAACACTTTTACTTGAACTCTGAGAAAGTGGGGAAAACATTGAAAATAATATATCAAACTTGTTCACAATGACCAACCCCACTGAACTATGGATGGGAAAAGTCCAAGAGGAAAACAAAAACACACACAAAAAAACTTTTTTTAAAATAACAGAATAGTGGATTGCCGTAGGAGATCTTTCTGCGAGATCGTTCGAGGTTTTTGGACAACTGACTTTTGAAGATCAATTTTTAAGACTTGAAACAAGGAGGTACAAGTTCTCAGAGGGAGAACACAAGTATGTGACATTTTTCAGGACACAACATGGCTTAGACTTGGGATGGCCATCTTCAGCTCGGAGTGCCTGTTTGTTTCCAGGGGATGCCGTTGCAACGGGATTCCAGGGAGTCTTATCTGTCATTCCTTAGTTGTTTTAGGGACCAAAAGACCAAACATTTTTATTGCTGAGGACTTGTAGCTCTAATATACTCGGACCACTGCATCTCCTTCAGCCAGTGTAAACTGCTCGGAGAGTTGCACTTAAAAACAAATGTACATTTCGAATATATACAAAACATGTATATATACATATATATTGCTGATATGCTTTTTTGAATACAGGCAAAACTATTTCAGATGACCAAAAATGGTCACACACTTCTCTAGTTTACAATTACTTAAAATGCTTTTTTTGTTGTTATTTTTTTCCCCACCACCTTTTCATTTTGTCTCGAGAGGGACGGCGAGTGCATGGGAGGGGCTGCTCCGTATCACAGCCTTATCTTTTTTAAATTGACATCTTAACCTCATAGATAGAAAAAAAAACATCAGAAACATTTGAATATATGAACTTGTTTATATTTGCAGTACAGATATATGTATAACAAGCATTCAAGCAAATGTATTCATATATACAGCATATATGGATAATAGCTATTAATCACAAATATATGTATTTATATACACATATTTTATATGTGTGTCTGTATATAGAACGGCTACCGACTACACGGTTTTGTAGATTTTAGCAGGAGTTTGAAGCATCGCTCTGCTTGGGAAGAATCGCAAATCTGGYAGCTCCCAAAACTGCAGGCATTCCTATCTCTGATTACCTAGATGCTGATACAAAATAACTTGTTTCTGAGGGATACACGTGAGCGAAAAATAACTCCATGTAAATATTATCTGAAAATGCAAAAAGCCACATCTCAGTAGCAGGCTTTAAGAGAATCAGGCTTAATGATTTTAGAGCGGGAAGAAAAAAAAGGGACAATTATCTTCGACTCTATTCCAGAAACATATCATGTACGCTTACACACACGCACGCACGCACACACACAAACACACACACACACACACACACACACACAAACTTCTCTTTGAAACTTGAACCAAAATGAAAACATCTCACGACCCCTTTCTCTCTCTCTCTCTCTCTCTCTCTCTCTCTCTCTCTCTCTCTTTTGCATTCAGTAAAGTGCATGTAGCGTATGGGCTGTCACCATGTCAAGGTGTGCCTTGTCACCTGCAGAATCTGCCATCCAGCACTGTGCTCCCAGAAAACAGAAAAAAAAGAAGCAAAGAAGAGAAAAAAAAAAAGAAAACCTGAACACAAACTACTGCAAGCAGCCAATGCGCTTTTATGATGTCAAAACCAGAGCCAGATCCATCAGCCGCATAGAGGAGTTTCAGTGCATGTCAAATATAACAAATCGTGCAATCACTGTCAATCCGTCTTAAAAAAATAAAAAATAAAAGCTTTCAGAACTCAAATTGACACAGCGGTTACACTTCATACAAAAGTGGGCATTAGGTAACCTGTTAATGCAGGTGCTATCTATCAAAGCTGTGTGCAGGGCACCTGGGACTCCCTTCCGCTGGTTGGAAAAAAGAGAAAGGTCTAGATAGTGCAGCTGGTCCAACGTGGCCCGGAACCGGACGAGAGAGGAGACTGAACCTCCTGGACTGAGCAGTGTAAACTTGATGGCCATGATGGTGCAGTGATGGAGATAATGGAGAGCTGGCTTCCCACAGAACGAACAAAGATGAGAGGTTTTATGAATCATCTGGCAGTTTTAAGCAATAGTTTCAAACTTTTAAAGAGGGCTTCTATGGAAATGTGATGAAGAATTCATATCCCACCAAATATTATAGTTTCTGACTGGATCAATGAGCTAATAGCTAGTCTGAGCAGAGCCAAGACCAAAGTGGATTGCCGCCATTTTGGAACTTGACTCAACGACGTTGCAGTGGTTCACGTTAATGACGTCTTACAAATTTTTACACGGCCATCAGTTTTGCATTATAATGTTATTTATAGAGTGTTTTGTGAGAGCAAACAGCAGTAGTAGTAGCTTGATGCACTTCTGGTAGGAATAGCACAATATTCCTACCAGAATAAGCGAGTAAATGTGAAACAAATTGCAGTATAAAAGGTTTACACAATGATATCACTGCTATGAAATTTTTGAAACCAGACTTGTTTTAATACTGCAACAGTCCACWTTGATCTTGGCCCCACTCGCTCACCGTTAGCTCCTGAGCTCTTTCAGACTAGAACAATTTCCCCAAACCGAGGATGTTCAAAGACTTATCTACGACAGATTAATTGTTCACAACCTTTCCACAGAACCCCACTTCAAAACGTCTGAACTACCGTTAAGTGTGACTCCCGGTTGACGCTCGACGTGAAGCATATACTTTAAAAAATGTTATATTGTCTTATGCAATTAAGTGTGAGCTTGACATTACAACATAACTGTCAGATGAAGCAATAATCGTTAAATGCCATTTACCAACTCCAACCGCTGCATCACCCAGGCTGGCTTTGTATTGCTTTAGCGTGCAGTTTCTTAGAACAGTCTACAAAAAAATAAATGGTATGAACACCTACTATGCACCTGCAAAAGGTTAACACACTTAGATTTATTGGACACTGCACATACTGAGCTGATGGGGAATTCGTAATGAATATTTATATATATGAATATTTATAAGGCTATATGACACTTTTGGAGACAATGCTTCCTGTTAGGTGCTGGTATAGGTTTTCCTATAAACTGCTCATTATGCCATTTCCCCAGCATCTGTGTCTAACCTTTTTTTTTTCCGCAGTTTGAATAATTTAACATTTACCTCCCAAATCCAGCCAGACTTAAAAAATAAAAATAAAAAACCACCACACACACACTACACATCCCAGGATGCCTCTTTCTGGGTTCTGAGTAGGGCATTTAGCACCAGCCCAGTGACCAATATGATCAGTCTTACTATGATGTTATAATTTACAGATTGGAGCTCAAGTTTACTCGAGTCATCAAATCGACCCGAAAGCATCAAGTTAAATGTCAAACATCTGCGCACCCCTGTTCACTGCCCCCTCGCTGCTTTGAGGCAAGATTTTTAAAAAAGGAAAGAAAAATGTGGGCTTTCCTTCGCTTGTTCATGTCCTCGTGCTTTCGTGTCGTGGGAAATAACGGGAGGCTAAAGGACAGCATGAAGCCGGCATCACAAGTTCATAAAAGCTGCAAGTTTACATGGGAAAAGTGGTTCAAAAGCTACAGAGCAGAAGTTTGAATATAAATATCTCTATAAATATATATATAAATATATACATAAACTGATGAATATATTGTAAATTGTTTCCTTTTTTTGCTCTTTTTCCTCTGTATATAGGTTTGCATATTTTATAGGACTTTTACTTCTATGTACAAGGACTGAATAAAGTACTTTAAATACTTTAAAAAATATAGATAAATATAATATATAAATATATATGAATGAAAACATAATGCTCATTAAAACCAGATACAAAAAAACAGTCACAAGGATGTGGTACAAACTGTAGGACTTGACCAAGGCATTTATCCAGAATACAGTCAGGGAGAGCATTGACCTCAGTTAGAGCTTACACACACACACACACACAGACACACACATCGACCTGTTTTATAAAAAAAAAAGAAGAATACAACAAAAAACAAACAACTTATGTGGGTTCTAATCATTTGATTTATTTATTTTTGTTTAGATGATTTGTTTAGAAGTCATGTTCGAGATGATATGCATGCTTTCACAGCATTATTTTTCTATGAGTTGGTACGTGACCAAATCGTTTTTATATGACATGCACGGGCTGCTGCAGCAGTGGTCCGCAGACGATCCTTGTTCCTGTCTGAGGGACCACACCTTCAGCCCTTCTTTGGTGATGGAGAAAGAAAATACAAACAAAAAAAAAGATAAAAACTCCAAATGACCAAGTGATGTCAGAGACAGATTTTAAACATTTATTTATTTATCTATTTATTTATTTATTGTATTTATTTATTTGTGCTGTTTGATCCAAGATCCGAGCTCTATAAATGCCACAGCTCTGTATGCTTCAGAGTGCTACTTTACATGACATCGTAGCCACTGTTAAGTATCCGGAGTTAACTCCTTTAAAAGACTGATTTTGGGTTTTCCTATCACTAGAAAACTATTCACAACAATGCAGTACAACACACAAGCCTTATGCATACTGTAATTATAGCTTCATACTGTACAAGAAAAAAAAGAGAGGTTGCTGAAAAAAATGCCAAAATTGGTCATATTTTTTTGGTTTTATTAACCATTTCTGTTCATTCTAAAAATGTTTAAACATTGTAGAGGGAAAAAAAGAATAATCTTCGGTTAAATTGTACATCTTCAACCAGATATTAAACCTGCTGTCAATTCTGTATGTAATCAGAAATCCACTGGATTCTTGTTAATCATTGATCCCTTGGTAGCATGAAACACTTAGCTTTTAAAACCTTTTTTTAAATGTTTGACAGAGCTCTGATCTTGTTCAACCGATGTATTCTGCCAAGAAGAAAATTCCATGAAGTCTGCACTATTTCATCAAAAGAAAAAGAAAAAAAGACAAAATTTGAGTTTCTTTTCCTTTTTCTTTTTTTTTTCTTCTGTGCTGTTGTCGGTCTTTTGTTTCTAAAGCTCAGTAGTGTTGCTAGAATCACATTTTACATCATGTGGTTTTTTTTCAAAAATGTTCTGGAAATCTACTGTATTTCCCAGTTTCAGCACAGATGGGAGAGTTGGGGAAATGAATGTTGCATATTAAAAAGCTTTGCCAGGTTCCTAATGAGCTGAGCTTCTGATTGGGCTGTGCGCTTTTAGGCCCCCGCYCCTGTTTCTCCAGACTGCACCATTCTCTGGTCCCCTGGACTCCTCTTTTTGTAATTTTAAATGAATGATGCGTCTCAGCTTAGCCCAATAATAAAGCACAGTCTAGAATAAAGCATTCTGTGTGGTGTCATAATTGCTGATAGCTCATCAGGAAAACAGCTTTTTTGTTGTTGTTGTTGTTGTAAAAATGCAGTGAAAGGAGAAAAGTGTTGGAACAAACCGGCTTCAAATTTACATGAAATTTCCGAGGTTGTGATTTATGCAGAGGACATTTGAGTCGGATTCAGAATGGACAATTGTAAGTCATGAGATTCAGTTTGCATTTACATTGCAGTGGTCTTCAGAGACAAACACAGTTAAGAGTTAAAAGTTTTCCTGAGGAAAAGAATGATTTCATTTACAAAAAGATCCAATTCTGCATAGATAAGCATTTATTTGTATATAAAATAAAACATCATTATAGCTCATAATAACACAATCTACAGGATTACATTTCTTCTAATGTTGGAGTGTTAACTGAGAATTAAAAGAAAAGCATTATAAAGAAAAGTAATTTGTCAGAATTAAGTGACTTTATTTTCTCGTGCTCCATTTTCCGCTTTGTTAATAAATAAAAAATATATCTTCCAGTATTTGGCTTTCTTCCAGGTCTTGTCGAAAACTCGGAGGATAATTCCCACTGGGGGTGAGCAGGGTGGATTCTGATGACTTGGGAGCGATGCGGGTCAATTTGGGTTGCGAAGTTCTGGGTCTTCGAGCACCCGGCTTACACTGCTCTGGGGCAGAGATGGGACTAAAAATGTCCAGGATCTCAACCAAAGAAAGGTCCAGCCTGGGAAGAAAAAAAAAAACAGAAAACTGCTTTGTGTTTTCTTGATTCGGTCTCATGGTTTCTTTCCCCACAAGCGACCTCCGCTAAACAGGTCGCTCCTACAAGTCCTTGTGTCTTAGTAAAACTAGTTGTATAAATTAGGGTTAAATGAAATAAAATAAAAGCTTGTTCCAAAGACTTCAAGCTGGAACAGGCTGTATTTTTTAACCCAGAACCTTGTGAAACCTTGCAGAGAGGCAATTCATTTGCACTGTTTTACTGTAGCAGAGTTACACTGCAGCTCCTTAAAATTAGGCGACACAAGCCGAGGGACAAACACCTGACATGAGGATAAGCTCACACTGAGCCCCCAAAATATTTGCCATTCACCTGTCGCTTGTTAATACAGACAATATGAAAGCAAAACTCTTTCCCAAGCACTAACAAAACCTTTCTTGCCAAAGTGCCAGGCAGCGTTAACAAGTCGAAACCACTGGGGCGTCCCCGCAGAAAAGCGCCGTTTCTTTGCAGGTGTGTGAACATAAGGAGGAGAGGACCTGGTGCCTTCTCCCCTGGAATAGAAATGAGGGAGTGTGCAGTGAAATAAATAAACCAAAACGGGGGAGATTAGGCTAATAGAGATTCAATCCCTCAGTCTGGCTGGCTTGATAAATTATTCAGTGTATACACAGTCGAACGACGGCCGTTCCAGATACAAAACATGAATTCTTTAAAGCACGCTCGACTGATCTTGCCAACATAATTCTCTGCTCGTTTAAAGCTGCATTGATTTGCATCGTGTGGCTCGGCACACAGCTCTCCCAGGTAGAGGCGGTCTTCAGGATCCACTTGTTGATATGCATGTGGGTGGTCAGCAGACAGACAGGYGGGTGAAACTTCTAATCAGGGCACATTTGTGCTCCTCCACACGTACCTGCAGACCTTGATATGTCATGTTTTCCAGACTAACTTGGAGGCAGCACGCATCAGTTGCTGAAAAGCGTTAAAAAGGCTATGTTTTRTGAACAAATGTATGCACATGTTTGAGCGTGAGGGAGAGAAAGTGAATGAGAAATGATAGCTGATGGGGGGGGGGGGTTAACGAAAAAGAAGCCGCCTGAAGTTTTTGTTTTTGTTTTTATAAGGAATAAAAATCTGTCCTTATTTGGTCTGCTCCCTGCCAACCCAACAGCTAAAAAATAAAAAATAATAAAGAAGAAGAAAAAAAAAGAAAGTGACTGGTGGTTGTCTGTTTGTATGAGAGAGGCAGGAAATGAGTTCTGCTTTTTTGGATGGAAAGGCGGGCAGAGAGGGAACGTGGGGGAGGAACTTTGGACGGGATGCTTCGCTCGAAATGTGAGAATTTGCATTTTTATTTGTTGATTTATTTAATGGACAGGCCTCTCAAACAGCCATCCATCAACAGGCGACATGTCTGTAATGAATAATGCATCACTTACCGGCGGTCACAATCTATAACAAGGGTGGGGGTGGGGTGTACAGTTTGGGCAGGAATGGGGGAATGGTGGCGGATGGAGGAGAGAAAGGAAGGGGGGGGGGTGCAGATACTGCATGAGAGAAATAGAATAAAAATAGATTTTCAGAGTTCAGCGTCACAAAGGAATAAAAAATCTTGGGAAAAGTTTGATAAAATTGTGTAAAAGGTAAAATATTTTCCTAGATCTAGATATACCTCGTCTTTTATTTTCCAGCTCCTCTGCAAACACTAGCCACCACCTTTTTCCCTCCCTCATAATTCTCACTGCTTATCTGGCTCCTCTCTTTCATTAAAGATAGCCGTCTCGCCCCGATGCCCCTTTTCATTTGCAGTCCAAACAGTAAAATAAAAAAAAAACTATAATGGCCACCGCGTATATCCCGCATGACAATTTCTAAACCAATCAATAGCAGGCGGGTGATGGCAGAATAAATGGAGATGAGATGGGCAGGGTGTGCTGGAACTGTCTCATTACTAACTAGCGCGGGATTCATGAAAGGATTAAGAAGGTCACTTAAAGTTAACACCCATTCAGGTTTTGCAATTTGCGCATCAAGATTGTAATGGTTATGATTAGACGGCCATCAGGAGGATGTTGTTGCCCGGTGGAGGAAAAAAAGAAAGGCTAATACAAAAGTCTTTGGAGAGGATATATTTCTCATTACAACAGAAATGGTTTTYGTTTGATTTTAACCTTAATCTATAGGGATGGTTTGGGAATCTTTGTTATACGACCCCAATTCCAAAAATGTTGGGACGCTGTGTAATCTCATAAACTCATACTAGTCACAGTAGAACATGGTAAAAATATTGAATATGTAAACTAAGAAACTACCACTTTCAAAAAAAGATAAGGTAATTTTGAGTTTTATGGCAGCAACATCTTCTTTAATTCTCTCATTAAAAAGATTACATATCCTTGAAAAAGGAAAAAATAACATTTATTATTTGATGCCCGTGATCTTTGAACCCTCTGATCGGCTTTGAAAACGGTTTTAATTCTGTTTTAGAAATCACTGCATGGGCTCAGGAACACTTCCACAAATCCATGTCCATAAACACAGTTTGCCATGCCATCCAAAATGGCTGATTACAAAAAAAGAACAAAACGCTACATGTGAACACCATCCAGAAACGCCATTTATGGACTTAGACAAAGTAGAAAAAAAAATCTATATTTGACAATTATTTTGGAAACTATTGTACATTTGGCATGTCCTCTGTTCTAAAGAGGAGAGGGACCATCTGCCCTTTTATCAGAGCACAGTTTTAAAGCCTGCCTCTCTGATGGTATGGGGGTGCATAAGAGCCACTGGCAAGTGCAGCTGACACATCTGGAAAGGCACCATCAGTGGAGAAACATATCTACGTGTTTCAGAATGCCTGTTCAAATGCAGATGATGTCTCTGTCAGGGAAGGTTTTGAATACTTCAGTAAGATGATGCTAAACCACAAACGTCGTCCTTTACAACAACATGACTTTGTAGTAGAAGAATCCAGGTGCTGAACTGGTCTCCCTGCAGTCCAACGACTCACCAAGTGAAACCATTCAGCTCATCATGAAACAAAAGATCCAGCCGACTCAGATAGAGTCCTACATCAGAAAAGAATGGGACAGCATTCCCTCCAAAACCACCATCAGAGATGCTTCACAGTGGAAAACATGGACCTGTCACATCTTTGTTGACATGTTGCTGTTATAAAAGTCTTAATAACCTTTTTGTTTTGTTTTTTTCTAAAATTGGTACAGTTTCTTGGATTAATCATTTGGCATGTTTACCACATTCCACTGTGAATAAAATATGGGTCAATGAGGATTATTGCATTCTGTTCTGACTTATATTTGACAAAACATGCAAAGTTTTCAGTTGTAGATTAACAGTAATATATATATTTTTTGAATTTATATATAAGTTTTTTTTTAATATAGCAAAGGATGGGTCATTGTGATTTCCAAAACACATCACTGGCATGGAGCTTGTATCTGATTTATTAATTACTTGTAATAAAGACTGCATGTTCAGACATTGAAATATTACACATATTGATATTGAAATATTTTATATATTGCACTGATTTCATAAAAACAATTTATTTCCATTGCAGTTTATCTTAATGACACTGGTGGATTTTTATATTTATCATAACATTACAAAGTAGGAATGAGTAATTTCCTCATTTTCTAAGAAAAAAAGGAAAAGTAAACCAGAAAACCTACAGCGGGTAAAATAAGTATTGAACACGTCACCATTTTTCTCAGTAAAATACATTACTAGAGGTGCTAATGACATGAAATTTTCACCAGATGTCGGTAACAACCCAAGTGATCCATACATACAAAGAAATCAAACCATAAATGTCCAGAAATGAAGTTATTTGTAATAATGTGGAATGGCACAGGGAAAAAGTATTGAACACACTTAATGAAATTTATCTAATACTGTACAAAAGTCTTTGTTGTCAATGACAGCTTCAAGACGCCTCCTGTATGGAGAAACTAGTGGCATGCATTGCTCTGGTGTGATTTTGGCCCATTCTTCCACACAAACAGTCTTCAAATCTTGAAGGTTTCGTGGACCTCTTCTATGAACTCTGATCTTTAGTTCTTTCCATAGATTTTCTGTTGGATTCAGGTCAGGTGATTGGCTGGGCCATTCCAGCAGCTTTAGTTTCTTTCTCTGAAACCAACTGAGAGTTTCCTTGRCTTTGTGTTTGGGCTCATTGTCTTGCTGAAATGTCCAGCCATGTTTCATCTTCATCATCCTGGTAGATGGAAGCAGATTTTTATCAAGAATGTCTCTGTACATTTTTCCACTCATCCTTCCTTCAATTATCTGGTTTGCCAGTACAGCCCCACACCATGATGTTCCCACCTCCAAACTTCACTGTTGGTATGGTGTTTTTGGGCTGATGTGCAGTGCCATTTGACCTCCAAACATGATGTGTATTCTGGCATCCAAACAGTTCAATGTTGGTCTCATCTGACCAGACTATATTCTCCCAGTATTACAGGCTTGTTTAAATGTTGTGCAGCAAACTTTAAAGGAGCTTCAACATGCTGTTTCTTCAGCAGTGGAGTCGTGCGTGGTGAGCGTGCATGCAGGCCATGGTGGTTCAGTACATTACTTATTGTTTTCTTTGAAACAATCGTACCTGCTAATTCCAGGTCTTTCTGAAGCTCTCCACAAGTGGTCCTTGGCTCTTGGACAACTCTTTTGATAATTCTTTTCACTCCTCTGTCAGAAATCCTGTGAGGAGCACCTGGTCGTGGTCGGTTTATGGTGAAATAATGTTCTTTCCTCTTCTGAATTATGRCCCCAACAGTGCTCACTGGAACCTTCAGAAGTTTAGACATTCTTCTGTAACCGATGCCATCATTATGCTTTGCAACAATAAGGTTGTGAAGGTCTTGAGAGAGCTCTTTACTTTTACCCATCATCAGATGGTTCTTGTGTGATACCTGGCCATCATTTGGGACTGAACCAGCTGATATTAACTTGCACTGACAAGGGGCAGGCTTGCTTTCTAATTACTGAGAGAGTTCAGCTGGTGTCTTGKCTTTCCATGCCTTTTTACACCTCCCTTTCTTCATGTGTTCAATACTTTTCCCTGTGCCATTCCACATTATTAYAAATAACTTCATTTCTGGACATTTATGGTTTGATTTCTTTGTATGTATGGATCACTTGGGTTGTTACCGACATCTGGTGAAAATTTCATGTCATTAGCACCTCTAGTAATATTTTTACTGTGAAAAATGGTGACGTATTCAATACTTATTTTACCCGCTGTACATCATACATTACTACTCTTAAAATAATGTTTTACCTCACCTACTACAACTACTATTGTTTATCATTTAAATAAGATACTGTTCTTTTTATAGCCACTGAGAAAGCAAGAGAGATTTTCTTGTTACACTTTGTAAAAAAAAAAAAAAAGAGAGAGAAATATGTGCTGCTTAAAGTCCAGTTACTTTAATAGGTTTGGGAGGTGAAAATGGATGGTAATAGGATCTGATAGCCTTGGTCCCCTGTTGGAGTTAATGGGCATCTGCAAGAGCTCACAGCTTAAACTTCGACCACGCAGTGCCTTGATTAAGAGTTAATGACTGTAAGAAGTAAACTTTGAGCTGTTTTGAAGAACTGTTTTTTTTTAAAAACAGGAATAGAAAAAAAGTCTAACAAACAGTATATTAGATTTTAAATAAACCGCCATACTTATGGCAAAAATGACTAAATATTTAACAAGGATAATTATTTGTTTAGATATACAAAAACTGGAATAGCTTCTCAGAATCTGATTATTTGCATTGAAGAATTCACAAGTTTCTACCTAGTGGAAAACAAGTGTAGAAGGAACACAGTGAGAAGAGACGCACTGGGGTTAATTACCGTTTAGTGACTGGGACTAAACCTGGTACTCCTCACCTCTTAGGTCTTTCTCACCATTTCAGTTGTTCTCCATCTGGACATAATCTCTCTTTCCTCGCTGCCCATTTTTCATGCTTCTTTCAGTGCTCTTGCACTCAAACACACTTTTAACATCTCTCCCTCACTCTGGCTTGCTCCGTCTCATTACTGTAGCAGAGCGAAAAGGGAGGGCAGTGTGTGCATCGAAGTCTGTTCAATTACACCTGCTGCAGGATCCCTGCTAGGCCGGCTAATGGAACGCAGCGTGTCTCCTGACAGGCTGGCCACAACCCCAGCCAGCCCAGTAAAAAGCTCCATTTAGCTTCTCGCAGCTCGAAAAGTTAGCCAGACGAAGAAAAGTTATCATTTAGCCACTGACACTGTGGCTGTTGTAGACCAAGCAAAAGCTGTACAGTCTAAAATTCCTATTTGTTTTCTTTATGCGTTTCAAAATTAATATTTCCTGAAAACAAAACAAAAAAAACTGCCTCGAGGAGTCACAAACAAATCATAAAATATTGCTAATTAAGTCCCCAGAGTCTTTTTTTCCTTCCTTCCTTCCTTCCTTTTTCCCCCCTTTCAGCACCTTTAACTGAATCTGGAGCTACACATTTCTGATCTGCGGTTTGCAGCCTAACAAAACCACCCACAAGTTCTTATTATTTTGGCTATATATTCTTTTACTTCTCACAGTTTCTATTTCCAGTTATGCTGGCTGCTTTGTATTAAAAATGACACATATTAATTATTGTACGTTTTCTGGTTTTGATTTAAAAATGGTCTCTGATGACAACAGATTTGATCTTGTGCACACTGCCCCATGATGAAATATGTTATGATGTCACCAGTCAGTGTGGACTGGAGACTGTCTTTAAAGTTAGACACTTTCATAGTACACATTTCTGTAATAACACAGAACTCAGATCAGAATTACAAAACCAACATGGATATTTGCCATTTTTACTTCCTTAAGGTGCACAAATGTGCTGTTGCTCAGTAAAGAACTCTTTATCAAACACTTGGACAGTAATAATTTAAAATATATTTTCTGAGAAATAACACTGGATAATTCAGCCTGTTAACTAGTCTTACTTTCAACATTTAAAAGTGTGGAAAACTTACAAAACTAAAAAACATTGGTAAATTTAGCAACATAATCAAAATGTTTAAGTTTAGTAAAGAGTTGCTTACTTGGTCTCAGGGGTCTTAGGGTTTGCAGACACAGAAGGGGGCACACTCAGGCCTGAAGAAGACTTTTCTGGAGACATGGGCATGTCTCTTTTGGACTGTCCTAAGGGATGTGCTGCTTAAAAATAAGATCAGTTATATCACCAACAAGAGCAGAGATTCTGGGAATAATATTAGTTTTATGAAGCTCATATACAGTAATTTTAGGTGGAAATGAAGAAAAATATACAGAAAATTAAAGTCTTGCCAAACAGAAATGTTATACGCTTCAATAAAAAATTGACTTCTATTTGTGCACAATCAAGCAAATAACCAGTTAGCTGAAAATAACACAAACTTACCGCTTGCACTGGTGGAAGGAGCCGAAACACTCACAGTGTTTATTTTATTCAAGTTTTGTGCTTCCGCTTCTTCAGACAGACTGCAGACCAAAGACAAACAAACAAAGCTAGCTTATTTCGGATATAAGAACATTCTGTGAGTGTATGAGTGTGTTTATTGGACATTCAAGGCGTGTCTGATTAAAGCTGCAGCTTTACTTACCTGGAGGGTAAATCCTGGTGGGAAGGATCCTCCCGCTCTGGCCCTGCGTTCCTGCTATTTGAGCTGCTGAGCTGAGCTTGACTGGGTTGTTGAATCCTTACAGACATAAAAAAAGAACAGCAACAGATATTTTAGATGTACAGATCACAGCTTTTTGATCATGTCGGAAGTAGTCCTCCAAATGTCACCACGTGTGGGTCATTTCTCTTTGGTTTGTGTGTCATACCTGCTGTAATCAAGCTGCGATTGTCGTAGCTGCTCACTCTGTCTGCTGAGCCTCTCCTCCTGCTCAGCCAGCCGTGCTTGCAGCCACTCTCGTTCCGTCTCGAGCTGCATCTTCTGCAGTAGCAGCTGGTGCCTCTTCTCCTCCCAGTCCTTGTGACCCAGCAGAGGCCTGGTCAGGTCTTCCTTAGMCTCAGAGCCCTTGATATTCCTTCTGTGCGGTCTGTGTGTAAATAAATATTCCATATTAATATCCATATCCAGGATATTTCTTGTACGTATCTTGAAAAACAAACACTGGTGTACCTTTCACATTCCTTCTGGCTAGAGGTGTCATGATGGCAGTTTACCAGACAGGAGCTGCTGTCACTTCTCCATTGCCGTGTTCTGCAGCCATTGTCATGACAGCTGCCTTGGCAGCACGTGTGTGGCTGCCTGCGCTCTCTTTTCTGATACACGTGTTGCTGGAATGGCTCAGGGTTTAGACTTAACTTGCTGCAATCGCAGGAAACTGAGGCGGGGTTTCTGAACATCTCTGCTGCCCCTCTTCTTGCGTTGCCACTCCGGCATGCTTGGGCCTGTTGTGCTTCAGTAGCAGCGAGGCTGAGGTACGAGCCATCGAGGAGTGATCCATTAGCTCTGCTTGCAGATGTCCTGCTGGGAGCTTCCTCACTACTGAGCACCTGAACAGAAAACCAACGGCAAAGTGATTTCTATTTGGCTGATTTAAAAAGCCTCTGAAGGTGTGATGGGAGTTTTTCAGCCAAAACAGACTGGTCCATAAAACTTTAATTTACAGCCAGGCAACAAAACTGAAATTCACTAATACCACATTAGGACTTGCTTACCAAACTAATTTGCTAATGTTGTAATGTGCCATAAAAGCTCCCCATTTGTTTGCAAGAGCCATTGAGTTTCCAAGTGCTGCCAAAGTACAGGTTGTAGAAGCAGCAGTACCTGGGCGCATCATGTGTAGACAATGATACGGGGTGGAAGCCACTGCCAAAGTGAGCTGCTCTGGAATGTTTTGGCTTTCCAGTGACACATTTCATACAAAAATCCAAACCTAACCAGTGCCAGTATGTCAGGAACTGACTATGAAATAAGCATTAACAAACCCCAGTGTTCCTGTTCTATAGTTCTGTTCTTGATTGTGTATTTTATAAAAGGTTGTAATCTACAGATAATGGGATGAAGATGTTGAATTGTAGTTGAATAAACATGTAACCCCTGAAAGATTATAATAAAAGAGAGAATTAAAAAAAACAAGCAAGCATAAAGAGAAAAGCCTATCTATTTTATGAAAAAGGAGGTCCAGAGTGCAGGCAAACACACATTATTCATATAGCAACTGCAGGACGGTGGAGTTACCCAAGGCATTTATACCCACAATGACCAAAGTAAGAGTTTCATCTTTGCTTCTGAAGTGTCACCTTAAGAGAGTTTTCATCATGTTCTTGTCATAAAAAACAAGGCATGATGTGGACTTTAGTGATTTGTTCTGATTTATGATGACACTGGGCAACGTGCTGCAGCGTGGGTTTCCCTCATTCCGGTTTTTGTGCTGGAGGTGGTGATAAATGTCAAACAGGGCTGCTCTTTAAAAGTGCACCGACCTTCAGTTTTATTTTACAGTTTCCACTGTATGTGCTCCAATATCAGAGAAGCACACAAGCATCCCACCCGCACCCCTTACCTTACTGTGGTTTGGAGGCTGGCTGAGCTCAGCAATGGACTGGTTGAGCTTGGCCTGTTGATGAGTTAGGTATTGTTGGTAGAGCCTGAGCAGCTCCTGACACTCTCTGTACTGTTGCTGTAGGCCTGAAGGATCAAAGGTTAAGTAACAACATGGAAMCATCATTTGGCTTAAACAACAGAACCTCTTCCAGAAATTTAGCCAAAAGATACAGTAGAAAACTCTGGGTTCCATGAAACTGCCCAAACAGATGCAGACTTAAATATTTATTATAAAACATTTTTTATTTACAAAACTATTTGAATTAAAGACCTAGTATTCTTTAAAGGAATGCATGTTGCCCTCCRTCTAGAAGCATCATATGCTGTCATAGTCATTTTGGTCAAACTATGAAAAACAATGTACAATCTCTTGCGGTATTGTGAGACGTCACGTTGAGAGTGCGTGTTTGTCAATGATTCTTAGCTATTACACGCCACAAATTTTAGAACAGTATTTGTCAAGTTTACTGAATTTGACATTTTTGTGTTTTTTTTTTTTTATGTTTTGTGGCAGCCATCTTGAATTGGGTTGGCTCCAAAAGTTAATCCATCTAACGATTACAATGTCTGTGAGTTTTATTAAAATTTGTTCCACATAAGCAAAGACATTATTGTCCAACTTCAACTTTTAGCAACCAGCAATAACCAAGATATTGCCATGTAAAATAGAGAGAAATTATTGTGTAGTGCTTATAACCAATGGTCAAAAACATGTTCTGTGATAGGGAAAAAAAGGTCAGTTCCACCAAAAAAATTAATTAAAAAACTAAATGGTGGCTTTTAATGGAACATATCCACTTTTTTAGCTGTTCAGTATATTTTATTGTGTATTTGGAGTCTATAGGAGTGCAGAAAAGTTTAATTTAATCTAGTGCTGCGTAGATGTCTTTATATTTTGTTTGAGATTTTTTTTCAAACTGTTAAGTTTTTTTGTGATGTTTTCCAAATTATTATGTCACAGTATTTGCGATGTAACTTCTAAATAATCTCTTGATGTACCAACTATAATCCTGTCATCTTCATTCTCGTCTCGAACTAGGTCAGACTTTGGCTCTAACATGTACGACTGGAAGTTTGACATCTTTTAATTAATTTGTAAATAAAACATTTTTGAGCCACAAAATGGTCGTAAACCCCTCTATCATACTACAATGGACCGCTCTGGAAGCTGGAAGGGGCTGGGTGTGAAGTGCCTTGTTTGAATTTAAAGAGACACATCCTCAAAACAAGTTGATCTGAGACACAGTTCAGAAAAGGGGTGAAAGAGGGGCTTGTGGAGTTACAGTAAGGAGGAATTCAGACCAAAGTATTGCAGCTCCACTTTATATAGACCTCAACTAAATGATTTGAATATGAAAAAGAAGAATTTAAAAGCATACGTCTCCTTTAAACAGACAATCTGAACGAAAACCTTTGACCAACTACACACCAGACCAGAAAAGCAGAGAGCAGCGATTCTACAAAAGGAGAGAAGAGTCCAGCAAAACCAGAGTTGTTGTTGTGGCGTGTCGCTTTCACCATCTGGGTTGAGCCAAGCTGGGTTTGGCTGAGCTGGGCTCTGCCTTGCCAGGCTATCTGCCAGACAGAGAGCTGGCAGCGGCAGGAAAACTAATCTGGAGCGGGACTACTGCTGCGCCTCAGGAGCCCACTAATGACGGTGGCAGCGCCGCACCACATCGGCACATACAAAGATAATGAGCACGAGAACGAAGAGGCTGCACACAGACACACCCACGCACATTCAATAATCAAGCCTGACGTCCTGATGCACACACCAAAACAGCGAGACACAACAGCGCAAACCCCCCACATGCACTGTAAACAGCCCACACACAAACACAACAATAAAGCAGGAAGTGTACAAAGCAAGCCGAACACACACACACACCCCAAGCTGACCATAAAGTGTATTCCTCCAGGCCATATCTTTTTACGACAGTGGCCGTGCTCCCCCATCTGATGAGTTTCTCAGCATCCATTTGCGAAAAGCTCCCATTTAAAGAGAAAATCAAAGTTCAAAGTAAGAGTCTTATTGAAGAAATAGTTGGCGGAACACTGAATAAGAAAACACTTTGCTTGTAGGAAGACTTCAATCAGGCTGTGGAAATGAAACTGGGTAAGAGAAGAGAGCGAGGATGACTTTGAATCGAGGAGCAGACATCAGACAAATGTGATGCAGCAGCTTCCATAAACACTGGGAAAATGTGAGAGAACACTTTGATTAAACCTATCGTCTAACTCGGGCTCCTCGATGCCTGCGCTGATCTCCATGAAAGCAGTGCTGTATGGAAAACTTAAGGACATCACAAGGACATCACATCCTGGAAATCTGCACTGGGGAGCTCTGTTTATGCAGCATGAAGGATCTTAAATGGGAGAGAAATGGAATACGGTGCTAAGGTCACACCTCACCAAAACCTAAGATAGAATGTGATGTGTTCAATTTAACAAAATAAAAGTCAATAAAACGAAATACAGGCAACTTTCATCTCACCATTTCACATAAATGCAACTTTGTTTTGTTTTTAAATCAAATTTCTAATTTAAACCCACATAGTTGAGGGCAACTAATACAAAAACATTTAACAAACTGACAAATTTCATAAAATCTAATTTAATAAGGAATAGCAGTTTATGTGTGGTCTAAGGTTGATGGAGTTGATGTTAACTATAGATATACAAGTGGTTAACTTGTATTGACGTTCAAATTATTACACAAAACTACTTTGGGAATTTCACTGAAATCCAGTGGTTTATGAGATATTTTGCTAACAGATGAACAAGGCTGAAAGATGTCGCTCAACATGCTGCTCTCGACGTACGAGACGTTTTGAACTGAGAGAGCATCCTGGACAGGAAGTGAAACGTCTTCAGCTCCACAATCAAAGTCCAGTTGTTGTTGTTGTTTTCGGTCTATGTGTTGTAGGTGATGCTCAGCTGCTACCACACCAACTTTTAGCTCAAAATTTCTAAAGCTAGCTGCGTTTTAGCCACTTCTGTGTTTTATGAGGTCAGTTAGCTCGAACACTCATCTTGAACTGGGTTGTGTCCAAAGCTCAGTCAGTTGTAGAAGTAAACTAGGGCTCCCATGATTAGTCGACTAGTCGATGACTAATCGACTATTAAAATAGTCGACGATTAATTTAATAGTCGATTAGTCATTTTTTGTTTGTTTTTTTTTTTTTGTTCTTTACTTTGTTTTTCTCTCCAAACTGCTTTGACACCTTCCACTGCCACATCTGCCTTTCTGTCCTTGACACACATGCACAGTAGTGGTAACTGGGGTAGGCCGTGGACGTCACAAGACATTATACAGACAGGCTCTGGTATCATGGCTACCCRGCAACGSAGCTCAAAAGTGTGGGATCATTTTATGAAAATGAAAGAGAAACCTGTGTAATATCTGCAAGGCAGAACTTGCCTTCCACGGCAATTATTTTTAGTTAGCATATAGCTAAAATCTAACCATGGTTATATAATAGCAGCTGCATTCTGGCGCGATAAGCTGTATGTTTTATATTCAATTAACGTATGATCCGATTAGTCGACTAATCAAAAAAAGTAATCAGCGATTAATCAACTAAAAAAAATAATCGTTTGTGGCAGCCCTAACGTAAACATAGGATTACTTTCTCCAAGTTCCATTAAACACCAGCCAGAAATTCAAGAAAAAATTTGCTAACAAGCAGTGTTGTTTTCAATACTAAATGACAAAGTGGAGGTTATTATGTATTTTTCAGGCACATAGTTACAATTCTATACCGCAATCAAGTAACTGTTATAAAATATGCTGTGTATTTCAAAAATAAAACTCACTTTGCATCATAGTCTATCTAAACACTTTGAAATGGTCTTCTGTCTCTTTAAGAACCTCCTACCATTTCAGATACTCCCACTACAGCACAACTTCACAACAATGCTTCGGGGGAGGGGTGCTCTGTGGGGCGGGAGCTCGGCTGCGGACTGAGCTCCAGGGAGTGGCATTGTACAAATAGGCAGTGCTTTGTACCAGCAAGTAGTACAGCTCCACATGACTACATGAGATTCAAGGATTGAGTCAAAGCCACACTCTGGGTATGTTTTTGATGAAGGAATGATATTATAACATGATATAAAGCTCCAAAAAGTAAATTTTGCATAATACCCCTTACAGATTTTGCACAATCTGTTTGAGGTCAGAGCAAAAGTTGGGGATTGGGCTTAGCTACTACCACATCAAATTTTAGCTCACCATCTGTAAAAAAAATTTGTGTATGTTTACTAAAACTTTTCTGTTACTGTAATTATTGAACAAGGTTTGCTCAAAAAGCTAACACGTTGTAGAGGTCAATTATTTTCTGAAGATTCATTCAAATCTGTTGTGTGACTCGTGAGATATTTTGCTGACAGTACAGACAAACACACAAACGGTACACACCACAGAGATACAAAGCAAAAAAAAAAAACACTTGCTTCCAGCAATGAGCAACAATAAAACTGCCTGTTAACGTAATCAAAGCTGGTGCCATAAGGTTTCTGAACTGATAAGCTTCCATCCCTCAGAATGTCATCACACTAAACACACCTCCTCCACAGCCTTGGATATCATCCAGTGGGAGCACTCTGCAAACCCCCCACCCCCGCCACCCGTTTACATCCGAGCTACAAAGTGCCGACAATAACTTACTCCACCCCTCCTGCTCCAAAAATACCCCGAATCAAGGGCTTGGAGTGAAGAGGCTTCAGACGGGGCCTGTCAAAATGATTCACTTCCCTGTCAGGCTGAGGCTCAAATGAAATAATGAAATCCATTTCAAGGTGGAACAAATTTGCACAGGAGGTGTGGGGGTATTTTAAAGTCCGCTTTAGTACTCGGAGCCAAACAGATTTGAGCATGAGCAGGAATGCAAAAGAAAACAGAGGAAAAAGACGGATGCATGATGCGTGCTGCTGAATGCATGAAAGTGTGTAAGGAAGAAAGACGGAGCTAACAGAAGAAGACGACGATGATGGTTTACATAACTGCTTCAATAGCACTGATTATGAAGGGTATAGTTCAGAATGGAGATGTAAATGAACAACAGAAAATAAACCAGCATTGTCACATTTAAGCCAATTATCTAGAAAATGCTTAGAAATTTCAAAGTCCATCCTGAAAAAATTACTGTCTGCGGTTTTCATGACTTAATAATCACAAGCCAAATGCAACAGTTTGGAAGCAATGACCAAGTTGTATCTTACAGATTCATTAGGCAGGCTACAGTGGTTTGCAAAAGTATTCATACCCCTTGAACTTTTCCATATTTTGTCACATTACAACCACAAACATAAATATATTTCACTGGAATTTAATGTGAAAGACCAACACAAAGTGGTATACAATTGTGAAGTGGAAGCAAAATTTTACATGAATCAAAACATTTTTTACAAATAAAAAACTGAAAAGTGCGACGTGCAAAAGTATTCAGCCCCCTTTTCCCTGAGTGCAACCAATTGCATTCAGAAGTTGCCTGATGACTGCTAATGACTCAAAAGGGTCCACCTGTGTGTAATCTAATCTCAGTACAAATACAGCTGCTCCGTGACGGCCTCAGATGTTGGTTAAGAGAATATTGGGGAGCAAACAGCATCATGAAGTCCAAAGAACACACCAGACAGGTTAGGAATATGGTTTTGGAGAAGTTTAAATCAGGCTTAGGTTATAAAAAGATTTCCCAAGCTTTGAACATCTCACGGAGCACTGTTCAATCCATCATCCGGAAATGGAAAGAGTATGGCACCACAGTAAACCTGCCAAGACAAGGCCGTCCACCTAAACTTACAGGCCGAACAAGGAGATCACTGATCAGAGAGGCAGCCAAGAGGCCCATGGTGACTCTGGATGAAATGCAGAGAGCCACAGCTCAGGTGGGGGAAACTGTCCACAGGACAACAATTAGTCGTGCACTACACAAATGTGGTCTTTATGGAAGAGTGGCAAGGAGAAAGCCATTGTTAAAAGAAAACCATAAGAAGTCCCGTTTGCAGTTTGCCAGAAGCCATGTTGAGGACACAGCAAACATGTGGAAGAAGGTGCTTTGGTCAGACGAGACCAAAATTGAACTTTTTGGCCACAATGCAAAACGCTATGTGTGGCGGAGAAAGAACACTGCACATCACTCTGAAATCACCATCCCCACTGTCAAATATGGTGGTGGCAGCATCATGCTCTGGGGGTGCTTCTCTTCAGCAGGGACCGGGAAGTTGGTCAAAGTTGATGGGAAGATGGATGGAGCCAAATACAGGGCAATCTTGGAAGAAAACCTGTTGGAGTCAGCAAAAGATTTGAGACTGGGGCGGAGGTTCACCTTCCAGCAGGACAACGACCCTAAACATAAAGCCAAAGCTACAATGGAGTGGTTTAAAAAAAAGAATATTCATGTGTTAGAATGGCCCAGTCAAAGTCCAGACCTAAACCCAATTGAGAATTTGTGGCAAGATCTCAAAACTGCTGTTCACAAACGCTCTCCATCCAATCTGACTGAGATTGAGCTGTTTTGCAAGGAGGAATGGGCAAGAATTGCAGTCACTAGATGTGCAAAGCTGGTGGAGACATACCCTAAAAGACTTGCAGCTGTAATTGCAGCAAAAGGTGGCTCCACAAAGTATTGACTCAGGGGGGCTGAATACTTTTGCACGTCGCACTTTTCAGTTTTTTATTTGTAAAAAATGTTTTGATTCATGTAAAATTTTGCTTCCACTTCACAATTGTATACCACTTTGTGTTGGTCTTTCACATTAAATTCCAGTGAAATATATTTATGTTTGTGGTTGTAATGTGACAAAATATGGAAAAGTTCAAGGGGTATGAATACTTTTGCAAACCACTGTATCTGTACAAACAACTATGTGTCTGCAAAATATGCTGTAAACCTACGAAATAAACTAACAAAAAAAAAAGACTCAAACACAACTCACAAAGCAACAATATTTTTTTGTTTAAGCAATGACATAGTGAGCATAAAGTCTTAAAACTTGAGCTTATATTAAAATGAATAGATCCTTTCAGATGCTCTTAAACCTACATGTCATCACCAAGTGCCAAAAGGTGAATAATGTTTTTACCTGCGTCTGTGAGTGCATGTGTTAGTGTACCTGTCTGTAGTCACCATATGTCCGAACCAGTGGAAGAAATTCAGAGATGTTTTAATCTTTAATTATGAAAAACTGATCAACTTTTGGAGTCAAAAATTTCAAACTTGGAAAGCCACCATGCAATTTTTAAACAATGCTAGGCTTTTATTTGTATATTAGTTACCATAAAGTAAGTCTAAACTTTGCATTAGTGCATAATGATTTGAAAAGAAATATCAATGTACTTATATCATGTACAATAGTATGCAATTTTTTTAATTCTGCAAAAATGTAGGTTTTACAGCTGTAGCATTTTCTATACAAGGGAATAACACGGGGAACATCCTGACCTGAACTTAAATGGGATATTTTTGATTAAAAGTTACTTTTTAAGGCAAGCTGTGCAGTCATTAGGGACTGCCACCTTTAATGGTGTTACTATAGTTTTATCAGTGTATTCTGTCTTGTTCCCCAGCCTTGATGAGTGCTGTGGGCTGTTTTGTGTTTGTATATTAAACTGGTTATTTATGTAATTTATGTAACTTAAACATCTTTATGTTTATGTATAACTTTATGTAACAACCAGAGACAGAAACTGTCAGATGTGAAAACATTGACCTAGTTTTTAGTATAATAAAAAAAGAAAAAAGAAAGAACACAAATTTCCTTAAAATCATCCAATATGTATACGTATTTTCAAATAACAGGCAATGATTCCTTTTTCTACAAACTCTCAGTTACTTCTGACTGTTTCCAGTGTCAATATTTAGCACCTAGTGAAGAACTGTATACCGTTTTTGTAACCTCTGCCCGGACCAACATGCCTTTAAGTACAAAATTCTTCTTTCCTATCTCAAACACAAATTTGGTTCTATATGCCAGTCGATTGCAAATGTCAGCTGAATATCCCAAATATCAAGGGTACTTTTCCTTCTCATCCTGGGTGGCTTGAGGCTAAAGTATAGTACCACATCCTTTATACCTCAGACAACCCTGAGTCTTGGTTAGATAAGATAAGCTGGGGCGTAATGGAATTAGACTTGACAAGACTCTCACTCAGTGTGTTTGCCTTTGGTGTCTCCTTAACCTTTTCGAAGAAGTGCCGAAACCTCCTGCCTGAGAAGAGCCTTCACGAGTCTCGTGTACACTTTAAAGACTATGCCCCCCCCCCCCCCCCAAGAAGCTTGGGTTTGACTACCTTTTTCTCTCAAATACCTTTAATAAAGTTAAAAGTTCAGCGTAAATGCCAAGTCTCCAAGTTAAAGTGCTTTTAATGGAGTTCTGCTCTTCTAATTTTACTTGCTGCCATTGCCAATCAGACAAATTACCAGATGAGTCAATTACGCTTTATTGTTTGCAGTCTTTTTAACTAAATATAGACTGATGATAATGATCTGGTGTGATCTGAGCAGAGCTGTTGTGACAATGTTATACACCTACCGCATTAGACAAAGAATCARCTGGTGGCCCATCTGATCTCATATCTCAGCAGAGTGAGATATTCTGAACTCACAGGGAGGATTTGCAAGAAAACACAAGATAATAAATTAATATTAAAACTCATGTTTAGAGTCTAAGATAATTCAAGCCGTTCAGACCAAGACTCCAACCGTAAAATTGGTTCTGTGCAAAACAGTAGATAAACTCCAAGAAATTGCATAGAACAACTACAGCAAACATCAAACAATCTGAATGCATCCATTTCTGTGCCTTTTGTGTCAGACAGAAAAGTCCTGCCTAAATCCTTAAAATAGATTTAGACGAGACAACACTGCCCCCTGCAGGATTGCTTCAAAATAGCACATAGGTCAACGCAAATAACTTATGTGCATTCACTACATCATACACTAACAGGCCAATATCTGATTTTCAAAGAAAAAATTATACTGGATGCTTTATCGTTTTAACTAGTACAACATCAAACTTTATCAAATATTACTAAATCAATATTAAGTATTATTGCCCACTTTGTGAAACCTGTATGAGAAGGTAAGTATTTTCTGACTAACATACTTTGGGATTATGCAAGGAATTTTGCTTCTTATTGTGCTTCATAATCTAGGAGATGCCATAGCACGTCATTGCAACACAAGGCACTAAAGAGCAATTAGCACACAGTGAAGTACAAAAGAATCTCATTAAAAAATGCAAAGTTGCACGATAATCACTCAAAGACCGTTAATAAATCAACCATCTACATCAGAATTTCATTACCTCAGTGATAAACTGTAGCCATTGAAGCTTTCTCAGCCCCATCTTTCTTGCAATAAATGACACAGTTGACAACTATTTTTTAAATCATGTGTTGCTAATGGCATTATCTGATTCTCAATGTTTTCTGTGTATTATTGAAAGGATACTCTCCCTCTCCTGTGCTATCATCAGGTTCTGCTGCTCCAGCTGCTGGACCTTGCGTTCAAAATTCCCCTGTTCATCTTTTAGACGCTGCACCGACTCCTCTTTCTCCTCACTTACTCTGGAGAGAAACAAAGACCAGTGTTAAACAACAATGTGTTTATGTTACATATTTAAGAGACTAAAGAAATGACATAAAAATGTGCGAAATTTAACTACAGATTTCATTGTGACTTTAAACATGTAACAGCTTGCTGGAGAGTGTGTAAAATTACATATGTGCGTGTATGTGTATGTACATATGTATACTGTATGTGTGTGTGTATATATATATATATAT